ACTACATTTAGCAACCTTTGTAAGTGGTACCTTCAATAATTTATTGATTAATAGAGCCCCTTGTGTTTATGATATGAAATTCATTGAAGCACACTGTCTTAAATCTGATTATTGTATTTTTTTAATTATTTTATAGATTTTAACAAAAAGTCGAAAAACTTGCAAATTAAACATTGATTACAAAAGATGGAGAGATGTTTAACTAACTTATTTTATAGAAACTTCAAGTATAATTACAGAAACCCAAGAAAATGTTAATAGATATTGTATATGATTACAGGTTCTATTTAATTATATGAGAGATAGCCAGTACCTATCAAGAACGATGATATTAGCAAATAAAGCCCAGAACTCAGCAAGTTTTTGTTTTAGTTAGATCACCATTAACATTAGAATATTTGTATTAAGACATACCCATGTAGATCGAGAAATACACTTCTGAGATGCCAATATTACATATCTTAGTATTTATTTTGTACGTTGCGATTATTCTCAACTTTCAATAGCTTTCTACGTAATGCTTGAACTTGCTCATCAATGCTTACCCAGTATTTGTTTTCACGAACCATTAAGTTAAGGTATTTCTCAAAAACAATCATATTCTTCATGACAAGTAAATGAAAATTATTTGTTATATCTTGTATTATTTGCTTTCTTTGTAGAAGTTCATAATTGTCACTATTGAAGTTGTGACTCTTATCTTGACTAGTTTCGATGTAATTGATTAACTTTGGGATATCCATATTTGATAATTGAATTAAATTATTATATGCTTCTTTAATAGCAGGATATTTCATGAGCACCAATTTTTGTTTCATATCTATGGTAAGTTCGTTTGATACACCTTTATCTGTGCTTTTGTTTGAAGGAAGTTCGGTTGGAGATTGTTTTATCTTATCCCATATTTGTAGGTCACTTATAATTCTATTTAATGTCTCTAATTCTGCATTTGAGTCATAGAATTTATTTAGCTTCTTTTGTATTTTAGTTAATTGCGATATCACAGTATCATTTGAGCTCTTCTTTATTTCATTATCTATGCCTAGTTGTAACTCAAGGCCATTTATCCTTCCATCTAATTCTTTGTATGTATATTGATCCATTGTGTAATATTTACAGTATAAACATTAAAGATAATATTGATGGTTTATATTTATATCGCGAATTCTGATCTAAATAATTTACATTTTTATTATTCTGTGCTAGTGGAGAGTAGAACAACTTGATCCAAAGGCTTATCATCGGCGTCCGTTTCCGTATTTTCAATTGATTTCACAGCTTCAAAACCGTCTATGACTTCTGCAAAAATTGTATGTTTATTATCGAGCCATGGAGCCTTTTCTGTTGTAATGAAAAATTGAGAACCATTTGTATCGGGGCCTGAGTTAGCCATGCTTACCATGAAGGGCTTAGAATGTCTTAAAGTTGAATTAAATTCATCCTTCAAATACCCACCCCAATATGATTCGCCGCCTGTTCCATTTCCTAACGGGTCACCAGCTTGGATCATAAAATCTTTAATAACACGATGAAAAATAGTAGAATTGTAGTAACCCTTTTCACAAAGTTTGATGAAATTTTCTGTTGTTTTAGGAGCTAAATCATTAAATAATTTTAATTTGATATCTCCTGAAGTAGTATGCAATATTATTTTTGATGATTTATTCTCCTTAATAGGTGTTTGTTTTTTAACTCTGGGTTTGATAGTAAAATCAATATCATTATGTCTTGGTGTTTGTAAATTGTTAAACAAAAAGATTTTATCTGAATTGACTGCCGACGATATCAAAATTGGAACCTTATTCAAACTAGAATTAAGTATAGAATTATTAGATGATAACATTTCCGTACTAAAATTACTAATTGAGGATTTATTTGACAATAATAGTTGATGAAATCTTAGATTAAGTTGCAATTGGTCATCAGTACCTAGAATCTTGATTACTTTGTTAGTTTGCAAGCTCAAGATTTTAATACCTTGTAAAGTGCCAAAAAGTAAAAATTTTCCACTTTCATCAAATATAATATTTCTTTGCTCAAGTATATCTTCTGGACTATCTATGAATATTTTTCTTTCTGCATTTATAAGCTTTAGTTGAATGTTTGCTTCGTCTTTTTCGTATATTTTGATAGATTCATCGTATGATTTCAACAATTTTCCAGATTTGAAATCAAATAATCGTATACAATTGTCAGGATATGAAATAGTTGCAAACGTTTCAAAATCAGGAGAGAAACTTATGCACGTTGGTGGTGATTTACTCTTAGCAAATTCAAGTAAATCAGTCTCCGATTTATATTTGAATTGCACAGATTTCGGTGTATTCTCTTCTTGAGGCGTCCAATATTCAATAATGCCCTTCATGTCAGAAGATATAATACATTGGTACTTAGGATTATAAGATATCACATTCAATCGATTTCTATGAATGGTTTTAATTATTTCGGTGTCGTCATCATCAGGGTTTAAAATATGAATTCTATTAGTATCCTGTTCATTAATTACTAGATGATTTATGTTTCCAGACTTATACCAACAACTAACATAATTAGACTTAGTATTGGGTATAAAATTTAAGTTAACGACTTGTATCATGTCTAATGTTACCAAGTCAAAGATCTTAACATTCGAATCATTTTTTGCAATACTTGCTAATCTTGTACCATCACTATCTATTATCAACTGGGAAACTTCCTTCTGAGGATGAGCGGAGAATTGCTTAATAAATTCAAGTTGTCCTGTATCGCCCTCCTTGTTGTCTTTATCCTTATCTTTACTTTTTTCATTACCTGTACTGGTCTTCTTGCGCCAAAATTTCACTGAACCATTTTTTAACCCTGCAATTAGAATTGAATCATCTATAGGATTCAAAGTAACGCAACTCACATTCGACTCTTGCAAATACGAATAGCCGTATTCTTCATTGAATTGTATATTTTCTATAAGTTTTGTTTCATCGATTATCGTTTTTTTTTTCCGTTTCTTCAATGGTTTCTGTTTCTCAAAATCAGAAGGCGTATCATCCAATGAAGGCCCAACCAAATCATCATCACTACTATCTGAGGATGAAGAACTTTCGTCTTCTACATTTCTTTTCATCGTTTGGGTATTATTTATCAATAGTAAGTAAGTACAATAGAAGTGATTTTTCAGTGCGCTGATAACAGTAAATGATGTATTCGCCCATCTATGAAGAAAATATATATACTATTATATGTATTAAATATAAGTTGGGAAATTAAATGAACTGAACAATGACATAAATAACCACTTACTCTTCTTCGCTGCTTGGGTCCTCATCGACCTTTCTTCTGCTACCCACTAAATCCTTCAAACTCATTGGCTTACTTTGAGAGTTTCCTGAGAATGATTTATTTAAAATGGGACGAGTATTTTTACTCAAACCACCTTCTTCAAAATTGATCTTAATTGGGGCCAGGGAAGGATAATGATAATCGTCTGCGTCACTCTCATCGTCATCATCGTCATCAACGACAGTAGTCTGTGGCTTATTTGCAACTTGTCCGTCTTCTTCTAATACCTCTCGCAATTGGTCCTCTAAGTCCTTAAAATCATCATCGATATCCAAATCTGAATTATTATTCTCTGGCTTCATGGGTTGTATGTTTTTCAAGTTTGTCTTTGAAGATGCTTGCGTTACGGTCTTTGCATTGGATTCCACATTAGCCTTGGGCTTAGGGCCTGGTTTCAGCCCTGATTTGAGTCCTGGTTTCGGTCCCAGTTTAGATGCTGCCTTTGAGGATAGTTTTTGTTTATCCTCTTTGTCTGGTTTCACTTCAGAGCGTATCTTGGATGTACTTTGTGTAGGTGTCTGGGAGGTCGAAAGTTTCTTAGCTATATTGGCTTCTTCAGGTGCAGAATCAAACTGAATATCAGGAAATTCCGAGTCATTCATGCCATCATCTATGAAGCCTGATTCTTCATCAGAATCGATAATGACTTCATTGCTTTTAATCTTGGAATTTGCTGCTGGTGGCCTTTTAGATGCTTTGGTCGACTTGCCGTTGTTCGTATGTGAAGGTCTCTCATCTATTTTTGGAATATATATATTACTGTTTTGTCGACTATTATTCTCCTTATCCCACAGTTCGATTTTTCTTTCCCACTTGGCAACATTACGTGATTTAGAAACTCGAATCGTGTTGTTCAACTTTTTTAACACAACCTGGTTTTCTCCCTCTAGTGACACAGTGAGGAAATACGTTTCATTTGCAGGATTCTTGGAAGGTCCCAGCCTCTTTGGATTCCCTTCAAATATGATAACATTGCCTCCTGAGCTGTCTATAGTCTTAGCTCGTATTAAACTTTCCTGGTCCGTCTGATACAAAGTAAGTGGACTAGTCTGGTCCATTGAATCAGGTATAAACCCGTATCTTATGCCTAGTGAATTATCTTGTTCGGAGACATGATCTTTTCCCAAAAAAGACGAAAGATCAATCTCATACTCTCCATCTGCTATTGACATTATTTAGAATAGTAATTAGTTGAAATTTCACCTCTATACTAAAGAAAAACTTGATTCATTATCACTAAGTAATTCTTCACCTTTAAGGCCTTTACTATATACACACTGTCCCCATAATCGAAAAAATATAAATAGAGATCAAATACTATTATTTCATTCCAATATAAATAGACTTATATATTAGTGAAATTATGCCTCCCATACCGTCTGAACCAGAGAGTATAACACTTATACATCCAAAAGTATTACTTCTTTCTGCAGGCGTAACAACGTCTTTGTTTTTGTCATACAGATTTTATAAGCGATATGTTCGTCGTATTCGCAATTACCTTGATTTAACGCCAGAGATACTCGAGAAGCAAACCACATTATATGGTAGGGTGACTAGAGTTGGAGACGGAGATAATTTCAGGTTTTATCATACGCCGGGAGGAATATTGCTCGGTTGGGGGTGGTTGAGACATGTTCCTACGAATAGAACTGAATTGAAAGATGAGACCTTAATGGTCAGATTGTGTGGTGTTGATGCACCAGAGAGAGCACATTGGGGAAAGCCAGCACAGCCATACTCCGAAGAAGCGTTATTGTGGTTGAAAAATTATATACTTGGAAGAAATGTGGTGGTTACGCCGTATCTGATTGACCAATATAAAAGATTGGTTGGACGAGCACAGGTTTGGAAGTGGACGGGTAGAAAGGACATAAGTGCAGAGATGCTTCGAAATGGACTAGGGGTGGTATATGAGGGTAAAATAGGAGCAGAGTTTGGGGATAATGAGTCTTGGTATAGGAAATTGGAAGCTAGGGCGAAATGGTTACGAAGAGGCCTTTGGTCGCTCGGGAGTAGTATGACTACACCTGGCGATTTCAAAAAAGTTCACTACAGAGGTGATTCTTAGCATACTAAACGCCTATTGCATGTTACTGTAAATAAACTATTTAACTAAATCGCCTACCAACTGCGATAATTCAACAGCATTTTCTTTTGTATCGGCTTCGGCATAGACTCTAACTGCATCTTCAGTGCCGGATGCTCTAACAAAAGACCTTCCCTTAGGGTATTTTTCAACAAGCTCGTCAATTTTCTTTTGCAATCCAGCTGGTTCTACTAAAGTTCTTTCAGCATTTGTAGTTTTAAATATCGATCTATCTGGAACAACCACTTTTATTAAACGATTAGGTAAATCAGTGTAAGCTTTGTCCCAGTCATCAGGACTCAATTTTAAGAAATGAACGATAATTAAAATAGTCAATAAATCAGAAATCGCATCTCCAACAGTTTGGTTAATTAATTGCGTAAGGTTTTGTAAGACTTTAATAGACTCTGCTTCTTTTGCATTCGAGTCATCAGCTTTATATTCGAAAATTTGATTTTCCGCTTCTTTGGAAAATGTCACTGTACCATGCCCATTTGCTTCAAAATAAATACCAATGTCAAATTTTTCTGCTTCGTGGTGTAAATGTTTCACACCTGTTGGAGTACAACGAACAGGAATTTTTAAAACATTCTCGACGTAAGCTGTTGAAGAGCCATTGGCATAAGCAGTTTGGACGACGCCAATATTCAACTTCAATTTATCGGAGTTAATGTTAGCAAATAACTGTTGAAAGAACAATGCAATCAATGTAGACATTTTGTCTCCATCAAATAACTTAAATTCGCCTTTATCGTTTTGGCAGTAGCAAATAAGCCTGTCTGCATCACCATCAAATGAAGCATATAACTTATTTGAGATCGGATCAACATTTAATGGTAGTTTTTGATTAGTTTTGACAAAATCGGCACCACAATCCCAGTTCAATAACTTTGGTTTAGTATAAGCGTCATTGACCAACGTAAACGAAATTTCATCAGATAAGTATTTTTGCAATAAATCTGTTACTTTAGGAGCCCCCACCCCATTCGCAGCATCAATAGTAATATCAAGCTTTTCACTGTTATTACTGATTTCATAAATATTTTTAAATGCTTTTGCCATCTTTGAGTAGTAACCATCTTCAGATGCCTCACCAAACGTTGCATCGTTGATGGTTCTCGTCAAATAATGCAATTGAGGCGTCGTATTTAATCCGTAATCCTTGAATGTTGAATTTGGAATCGATTTGATACCATCAATAGTAGAATCCGATAAAGCTGGACTTGAGTCCCTAGAGTCTCTACCAATTATAGTATGCGACTTTTGGTTCAAATCAATCCCTAATTCGGAACAAATTTGCTTAATGTTATCACCTAATTCTTCATGGGTGGAATTGGCTAACTTTGTTGCATATGCTTCCCACGAAGTTTCTAACATACTTCCATAAGGATCAACAACCTTAACACCATTATCTTCTGGAGGGTTATGAGATGCTGTGACCATCACACCGATAGTCTTTCCCTTAAGATATTTGGAACGTAACGTAGCGATTATACCCACAGTATAGTTGACATAATCCAAATCCTTGGCTTTCATACGAAATCCAGCAGTTCCATAAGCAAAATTTAAGCCTTCAGGCTTTGGGTGTTTGGGCAAATATTGCGATAACGCTTCTTCAAGGGACATTATTGTTGTAATTGACTGGCAATCTTGATTTAAATCAACTTTTTTGTAACAGATCAATTTTCTGAAATTTAAAGCGGCTGTTATTTTTAGTTTCCGATTTTGGGAAAAAATCAAAATAGATTATTGAAAGATATAGCAGACTCTATACACCTATACAAATGTCTAGTAAACCTAGTAAATTTGATAATTCGCCATTTCATAGAGAGGGCAAACTGGCCTATATTAAACCTAAACCTAAACCGAAATCAAAAGATTCAGAATTCATACAAGAATTAGTTGAAACCGGAAGAGCCAATTGGAAAAAAGCACCAAAGGCAGTCAAAACTAGATACTATGGTATATATATGATAATGTTTTCAATCCCAGTGATATTGATACCCTCGTACGAAATTTACAGGAGGTTAGAGGGTAAATCGACCAAGAAAGTTCAAGAAGGTGAGTTATTAGAAGGTAATGAGGTACGGAGATTTGATGAAGTTGAAAAATGGCAAGTGGAGAAAAATAGTTTGATGTATAAGATATTTGGAAGGGACTTCTTTTTAGATGGGTTTACTAGTAAGACCATGAATCCTGAGAAAAGTAATGAAAAGAATTCAAAGTAATATTACAACTATTAAATACTATGTAAATAAATATGATGAAGTAACGAAATGTTAATATTATTTCCAGTCAGGTTTTCCACTTTTTAGAGGTTGTATTAGATGCTTATCGTCGAACCTCGAGCCTATTGAAGACGATGGTCTATCAGGGGATGTAGATCTATAAGTAGGTGATTGTTGATAGACAAGATTCGGAGTAATAGTCTCGCTTAAGGACGATGTTCTTGATAACTGACCAGAAACTATGCTGTTCGAACTTCGAATAATGGATGGTTTTCTAGAAGGCTTGCGGAATACATCTTCGTCTTCTGATTGAATTCGGGATCTGGTTGGTGTTGGTGAAGGGTGCAGTATTGTATTTGATCTGTTTATTAAGAATAATGGTGGTTTTAAAGAAATCATTTCATTTCGTCTTTCGGGAGAATCATTGAATATGGGATGATTAGGGCTGATTGTGGGAATTCTTGAACGCTTACTTTTGGTAAGGTATTTCTTTTTTATGACAGGCAAACCTCGACTGATATAGTCTTCTGATATAAATGGAATTCGTGAAGGGAAATTGGATTTAGTATTCAATAAATAGTCCCAGATGTTCACGGATTCGTAGGTATCTTGAATTTTTAGCCTGGAGACTTTGTGATTTATATGATCAGTCTCATATGGAAGCTTTGGAGTTTTCGAATTAACCAATGTTATTTCATCATCTTCCTTCATGGATTCATTATCACCTTTATCAAAGAATTCCAATTTCAGATCAGCCTCATCCTCTATATTAGTGAAGGATTCCTTCAAGTCTCTCTTCGTGTTATTATTTTTAGGTTCCGGACTAAGGAAATTCCTTACTCTATCCTTCTTTTCAATACTGAAAGGAACTCTAGAGGAAGCGACATCCACACCCAAATCTATTCCTAATCCATGGTCAGATTTTTTTGGAAAGATTTCCTTATTCGAGTTCTCTGGAGTTGGTGATCTTTTGAACGTGTGATAAGTTTTTAGAGTATTACCATTTAAATTTGAAAGTGAAGCATAGTTTGGAGTTATAGTGCTTGGTGAACTCAAAGGGCCGGAAAGTAATTCATTTAAAGTTTGCCATTTAGGTACAAGGCTTTCATTAAATAACGATACCAAAGGTGATTCATAAATAGTAGACTCTGCAAATGCTTTAGTAATCAATGTAATGGAATTAGAACATAGTTTATAGGTAGATCCAATTTCATCTGTTATTAAATGTTGCTCATCACGTTTGTCCTGCAAACTTTCGATAAGAAAATCACATTTGGAAATGATTTCGTGAATTAGGTATGTAAATATTTCATTCCATTTGGAATCCAATGACTCCCTTTTTATTAATTTCAATCCGTTCTGTAAATGTTCCCATCTTTTGGTAAGTTTGGAATGATTATCTTCAATCGTAGATAGCGAATGAGGAAATAAATTTGCAACTGATATTGATTTACAGAATATATTGAATTCTTCGATCCTGAGTGGCAAATATTCTAGCGATACTTTGAGGGGTGATATTCTGGCCTCTAAGCTGAGATACTCGTTATATAAATGTTCATCTAATTCATTAAACGTTGGAAGCCGCAACGATTTTGTCGAAAAATTAGTTGATGTGAGGTAATTTATCTTCATCTTAGATATGATTACTTCCAAATTGAACTTACTTAGGTGCCGTTTGGGGCTGGATAATTTCAATTCCAGTAAATTCAGATAAATGTCAATACATTGTTCTATTTCTCGTAGAAGCGTCCCTATTATATTATCGTTTATTTCCACAAAATTTATGGCAATATCAACTTTCTTCTTGAAAACAATTAGATATTTCTTTACCTCCAATAATAGATCACTCGTCTCTTCAAACTTGCCGAGTAAACTTGTGAAATCAGGAAGACCATGTGCGTGGGCATCCACCGTTCCTAATAGCTGTGATATAATAGAATCGATATTTTCCATGTTTTTTACCAAGTCGTATATCCCATCTTTGCCTTCATAAAACCACCGTATGTCGTCCATCTCCTTCATCTCTGAATTCCGAAGTTCTCTAAACATTCCTATCAATTGTGATAAGTAGCCAAATATATCATCCACTATTTTATTGATTTTGAACAAGTCATGAGACAGCAATATTGTATTATTAGGTATTTCAATCAACTCATCAAAAAACGATGATCTAGGCGTAGAATTCACAATTTGCGATAATACTATATTATTCTCTCGATAAGTCATATTTGCATTCTTGTCGGTCCCTATATACAATAGGTCTTATTTAGCTCTTAAAAAAGAATTCAATTATCTTAGCAATAATTTTATACACCTCAATATATGTGAAATAATATTTCAGTATATGTATGTCTTAAAATACATCAATTAGAACAGTTTCATCAGGTCCTAAAAGGTGGGACTTTGTTTTGTTTATAATCTTAATGATCTGTGGAGCGCAAAAAATCTAACGCAAAACGGACCAATTTTTTTGCGATAATATTTTTTTTAAGAGATGAGCTTGAGTTTTAAGGACCAAGATAAAAGGAGCAAACCATAGGTTAAAGGGATAGATAATGGCTAAAGCAGCAAGAAAGAAGTTCAGTACCAGTGCAGACCCAACAGGTACCACGGTTTCTGCAGAAAAACATTTAAATTCAGTATTTAAGTTCAATACTAATTTGGGTCAACATATTTTAAAAAATCCTTTAGTTGCACAAGGTATTGTCGATAAAGCAGGATTAAAACCCAGCGACATAGTGTTGGAAGTTGGTCCGGGTACGGGTAACTTGACTGTTCGTATTTTAGAGCAGGCCAGGAAAGTTATTGCCAGTGAAATGGATCCCAGAATGGCCGCTGAGTTGACCAAGAGAGTTCACGGGACTCCTAACCAGAAGAAACTAGAAATCTTGTTAGGTGATTTTATAAAGACAGACCTACCATACTTTGATGTGTGTATCTCTAATACGCCATATCAAATTTCGTCGCCGTTGGTTTTCAAATTGTTGAATCAACCTAGACCTCCAAGAGTGTCGATTCTTATGTTTCAAAGAGAATTTGCCATGAGATTACTTGCAAGACCAGGTGATGCATTATACTGTAGGTTATCTGCGAATGTTCAGATGTGGGCTAACGTTACGCATATTATGAAGGTGGGTAGGAACAATTTCCGTCCTCCACCCCAAGTCGAATCATCTGTGGTGAGAATTGAGGTGAAGATTCCAAGACCTAATATTGACTTCAACGAGTGGGATGGGTTATTACGTATATGTTTTGTGAGAAAGAATAAAACAATCGCTGCTGGTTTCAAGTCTAATAACATACTTGATATATTGGAGAAGAATTATAAGACTTACTTGTCTACTTTAAATGCTGATGCAAACGGAGACGATTCTATGATGGTTGATGACAAATCTTCAATGACTGATATTGTTAAAAGTAAAATAGAACAGGTTTTGACAGAGACTGGCTTTTCTGATAAGAGAGCTGCTAAATTAGATCAAACTGATTTCTTAAAATTATTATACGCATTCCATCAAGTTGGTATTCATTTTGCATAGTTGCTTTTACTTCTTAACATCTTTATGTACATTAGCCTAAGATTCTATTAGACACAATTAAATAATATAACATAATATAATATAGATCTATATGGTTTATCTCCTCTTTGTAACTTTCGAATTATCCTTTTCAATAATGTCGCCGACACCACCTAATTCTTCCAAAGAATCTTCAGAAATACTAACTTGCTCTCTTCTTTCCCAAAATCTTCCTTCACATAAATCAAAAGAAGCCTTTTTCAAATATTTACCTCTCTTCTCTCTGTTACTCGAGATTGCCCATTCTAAAAATTGGGCACCAGTACGAACATAGAAAGCACGCAAGGTTTCAAATGGTTTTGGATGTGGTAACCAAGGTCTTGGATCAGGTATTTCCATTTCATCCTCACTTGCTTCTTCCTCTTCTTCCTCTTCTTCCTCTACTTCTAATTTAGTATCTGTGTTTCTTTCTGAATCGTCATCGTCACCTTCACCTTCATATTCGAAATCGTCATCGTCTTCATCATCTGAATCTTCGAGTTCTTGTTCTAATTCAGTTAAATCTTCCCATAGCACCTTAACCCCATCTAACTTACTTAAGTCTATGGCGTATAAAGAATCCAAATTAAATTCATGGTCTCCTTTCTCATAGATACCACCAAATATATATAATA